GTCAAGGGTTGAAAGGTCGAACCGGGATCCACCCGATTTTTTTAAAAAAATAATTTTGCAAAAAAAATCATCAAATGAAAGCAAGTTTTTTTGAAATCACAAAAACAAAAACATGAACTCATGCATACAATTAATATAAATCATTAAATACAATCAACAAATCAACGTCCCGCTCAATCCAATTACGTAATGTAAAATAGGTTCATAATTTTAAGTAATTAACAATGTTAACTTGAAAACTTAACTAGTTAAAATTTAAAAGTTTCACATCAGGTTGTTCTCCAATTGAAATATGTCATGTTATAGTTGAATTCAAATAGTGCACTAAACATCAAAAGATCGAATAGTTAAATTTCATCTTCATCGTTCTCATCTATAAGCCTGAATCCTTTATCACTTCGAAGATCACTTGAACCATCAAAACGATGAATAACATCCAACGTATCTGAATCACCCGTCCCTTGAGTATCAAGCTTGTCATTATTTTCATTTTCATCTAAAGCACAAACATAAGAAACTAATATATTAGCTGAAAGTGGAGACTATATCTATCCTTTGATATAATTGATTGATTACATAATAAATTAATGTAGGAAGTGCCCGAAGTAGTTCTAACATAATAAATATTACAACAATGAGTTTAAATAGTTAAACTTATTACCTTGAACATTCGTATCATTTTCATGATCACTAACATTGAGAATTGCATCTTCTTCATAAATAGCATTATCTAATTCTTCATGCTCGAAATCCTGAGGTGGTATCTTTTCCTCTATCCAAAAGTCTGTCTTGTCAATGCACTCATAATCAACTGGATCATACGATCTTGACTTATAATAAATTCTGTAAGGTTGTACATGAAAATTAGTTATATTAAGAAAACATTATTGATAAATGAGGCATTAAAAATAAACTTGTGACATAGTAAAGAGTTTTAGATTAATGACCTATTCTTCAACCGCAAATTATAACATAGACAAGATCATTGAGTCTTTGATGTTCCAATCTTTTTTTTTTTGTGTGAATGTGTTCAAAGACACTCTAATTTCTTTCGCATCCCGGAGAAGAAGCCGTTTGACCAAGAATTCGAACATCTATCTTTTGCAAAGTTGGGGCACTTATCCACACAATTTCCACCATTCATCTACATGTTATCTAAAAGTTAGTTTTAAGCATTACATTAAGTAAACATATACAAAAATAATTAAATTTAAATGCTCACTAGGTTGTAACGACTTTCTAGTATTACTTGCAGATTGTCTTCCAAAACTTCCTTCACAGTCTCGATACATCCTTTTCTCTTTCATTGCTTTTGTCTCATCATCACAAATGCTTTTGATCTCAAGTAAATTTAAGTGGCCTTGCATGACTTCTGCTTTTTGACAAAATCCTTCTTCATAAATAAAAGCACGATTAAAAAAATAAGTTGCTGCATGTATGTTAAGGCGTAGATGTTTATCTCATCGTTCCTTGATGATATCAGTGTAAGGCTTGTACAATCTTTTCTTATTTAAAAATACATTTTTTATTCCTTTTCGTGTCCTATGCATTCCATCATATACATAACCCAACGAAGGTTTTTCATCTGCATCTACTATTCGTAACAACCTTATGATAGGAGCCACAATTTTCACAACCATCAAACAATCCTCCCAAAATTTGTTGTCCAAGATGATAGAACTTACAAGTCTCCCAGTTGCATTTTTTGAAAGCCTATGGCTTGTAAAATGCCTACTTGTTGCCAAACTTTGCAATACTTGTTTGTG